AGCTGAAGGTCAAAGGTCAAGCATGTTAAAGGTAACCCGTTTTAATGCTGTATCCTACCATTACAGAGCACATGATTTCTGAACGTAATCAAAGGCAGTTTTACAATCCATCATTTCTGTCCCTTTGATTCGCTCCTGTCCACGTCAACGTTTATGGGTTTTTCTTTAACTACAGGAACTTGTTCATGTTAACTTAGTGTTTTTACTGTTAATATTTAGCTTTACATTTTATTTATGTCCAGTTAGTAATTGTAGTGTTTATTAATATTTGATAAATTATTAAACAATTTGTTTATTAAGCTTTTATTTATATATTTTTTGTTTTTGTAATTTAGTTGTGCTTTTGTCATTTTTTATTATTATTTTTTTTTTTAATATTTATATTTAATATAATTTTTTTTTAAATTAGGGCTGCAAAATGATTAATCGCGATTAATCGCATTCAAAATAAGTTTGTTTACATACTATATGTGTGTGTACTGTGTATATATATGTATATATAAATACACACACATACTTGTATATATTAAGGAAAATGTTAGATTTATATATAAAATATATATATGCATACACGTATTATAATTTTTTTTAAATATACATGTGTGTATTTATATATACATAGTAAATATGCACAGCACACACATATAGTATGTGAACATAAACTTTTATTTTGAATGTGATTTGTCGTTTTGCAGCCCTGATAAAAATAATTTGTTAAAAAAAAATTCTTCAATTTTAGCTTTTATATATTTTTAGTTAGTAGTTTTAGTGTTTATTAATATTTTTGTATTGTTTTTAGTAATTTAGTCATTTGTATTTTTTATTTTAGTTATTTAATTTAGTATAAATTTATTTTAAGTTCAGTGTTTCTAGTATTAATATTTTATCAATTAGTAAATAATTATTTAATTTGTTTAAGCTTTTATTTTTATACTTTCAGTTTTAGTATTTTAGTAATTTAGTTGTGCTTTTGTCATTATTATTTAAATATTATTTTAAATTTATTTCTATAAAAAATTGCTTAATGTTTAATGTCAGGCTTTTATTTATTTCTAGTTAGTGTTTTAATATTTTTAATAATTTTAAGAAATTTTGTAGTTCTGACATTTCTATTATTATTTTAATTTTATTTATTTTAGTATTAATTTTTGTTATTTTAGTGCTTCTAGTGTTTATTAATATTTAATACATTCTTTTTTATAATGCTATAAAATATCTTAAATTATTTGTTATAATTTAAGATTTTATTTAGCATATTTCTATAAAACTACACAAAACAAATAATAGCAATTAATAAAATTAATTAATACCCACAAATAATGTTTTCACATCTTTTTTGCATCATTGGATTGGAAATGACAACATTAAAATACTCATTTCATTTTTTTCTTGATTTGTTCACACAAAAGTGCCTGAAGTTGAAGAAACACCCTTAAAAATACACGTAGTTTCTTTCATGATTTGAGAGTAATTTCATCAAACACCTTCCCCCTGTTGCCGTTTATCACAATGAATTCAGATGATCATTTGTGTTTTGCTTTATGACCTGTAATGTTTTCGGTGAATATTGAGATGGTGAGTTCAGTTTCTGTCATATGAGTGTTCATCGCTGTGTGTGTCAGACTGGTAAAAATGCAAAGCCTTAACCGCATCAGCATGTTCGAGGACGTTCGTGACGCGGAGGACGCGCTGCATAACCTGGACAGGAAGTGGATCTGTGGACGGCAGATCGAGATTCAGTTCGCTCAAGGAGACAGGAAGAGTATGACGCTGGTTTTCTGCATGCCAAAAATTTATATAAAGTTTTTGAACTGCAAAAATTTGATTTTTAATATTATTATTTTTAATATTATTTAAAAAAAGAATGAAATCTGGCTAAATTGCATGCATTTGTCTTTGTCGTCTGTGTTGTCACGTGCAGCTCCCGGTCAGATGAAATCCAAAGAGAAGCGCTCTCCTCGCAGCGACTCGCGGTATGATGACTACGAGCGCGACGGCCGGCGCAGACGCTCACGCAGCCGCAGTTACGGCAGAAGCAGATCTCGCAGTCCTTCATACGAACGCCGCGCGCGCAGATCAGGAAGCCCCAGAGAGTGAGAACAAACACATACTGACCTGGGCCCGTATTCACAAAACATCTTAAAGCTAAAAGCAGCTCATAACTCGCCGATTTAGGAGAAAATCTAACACATAATGGGTGTGTCAACTGAAAGAAACTTGCGCTGATTTTAAAATATATCAGTGCCTTTGTTTTGTCTCAAGATGCACACCACTGATGTTTTTTCCTAAGCACGTTTATACAAATTACTTAAATGTCCTAATTGAACTATTGCTTAATCCTGGCTTAGTCTAAGCCCTGTCTGTGAAACCGGGCCTAAAAGAGTATTTCACAAAGCGTTTTAGCTCTAAAACTAGCTCCTAAATCTGTGAAAGGTTAGCAGTAGTGAAGAGGATTGTGTCCAGTCTGGTGGTGTTTTAAGTTTGCATGGCTTCCTGTCAGCCATGATTATTCCACTCTGTTAATTAAAAGGCTGTTTATATGCATGTTCACTAATTGTTTATGTGAAGCACACTTGTAAGAGGCTGACAGTTAGCTGAACATATACTCGTTTAATTAGTGACTCTTAGCCTGCATTTTAAAGTCTTTATTTTAATGTTGCAATTAACATTTTTATTTTTAAACCTTTATTTGAATATGGCAATTTAAAACTCTGCTCTACAATATTTCTATGAATAAATCTCTGACAGAGACTATCAGCCAATCACAGTGTGCAGAGCATGCTGACATCATCCATAGCAACGAGGTCAACCCCGCCCCCTTACTCTGCGCTTAAAGGGATAGTTCACCCAAAAATTCTGTCATTAATTACTCACCCTCATGTCGTTTCAAACCCGTAAGACCTTCGTTCATCTTCAGGAACACAAATTAAGATATTTTTGATGGAATCTGAGAGCTGCATAGACAGCAACACAACTGAAATGTTCCCAAATCCAGAAACACAGCAAGGAGATCGATAAAATAATCCATGTGACATCAGGGGTTCAACCGTAATTTTACGAAGCTACGAGAATACTTTTTGTGCGCAAAAGAAAAAAAAAAAAACTTTATTCAACAATTCGTCTCCTCCGCATCACCCTGGTGCATCAGTATCAGCCGCACGTAAACAACGTATGCTGTTCTGTGAATTGTTGAATAAAGTCGTTTTTTTCTTTTTCTTTTGCGCACAAAAAGTATTCTCGTAGCTTCGTAAAATTACGGTTGAACCCCTGATGTCACATGGATTATTTTACTGATCTCCTTGCTACGTTTCTGGACTTGGGAACATTTCAGTTGTGTTGCGGTCTATGGGAGGGTCAGAGAGCTCTCGGATTCCATCAAAAATATCTTAATTTGTGTTCAGAAGAATCAGATGAACGAAGGTCTTACGGGTTTGAAACGACATGAGGGTGAGTAATTAATGACAGAATTTTCATTTTCGGGTGAACTATCCCTTTAAGTCTAATCTCTATTCCTTAGTAAAAGTTTGTCTCGGCAGCTTTGGGAATAGGTTTGAAGAGAAAACTCTTAGCTAAAACTTTTACTGCCATTTAGGAGAACTCTTAGTAGTAAGGGGAATTGTTTTTGGGGTTTTTTTGCCCAGATTTCAAATCAGTTTAACATACAGACAGAAAAAGTGGATTATATTCAATTAGAATTGTTCAGTAGAAAATCTATATTGTAACGCTTTACAGTAAGGTCATGTGTTGTTGCATTAACATTAACTGATAACGAGCAATACAAAAATAGTTTTTTCCAAAAAAAACATAATTGAACTTATTTTAAACTTCATTTTTATTGCACTGCACAAAGTTATATATTATAATAATTTAAAAAATGGCTGTTAATTCTTATTTTGCTTTGCATTTTCTCTAACATATCCATAAACCACCCTCGTCAAAGTTAAATAGGCTTTTTTATTTATACTTTTTTTCACTTATGAATTTTTAATTTTACAATTCTTTTTTTTTTTTTTCAAAAAAAATGATTAAAAACGTATTTTTTAATCAAATGTTTAACTTTTTTTGAACTGTACAAACTAAAATATATTATATATAATAGGGATGCACGATATTATCAGACCAATATCGGAATATCGATATGAAAAAGTATACCGATATGTCTTGCCGATAAGAGGAATACATTAACTCACATGTGCTCAGGGTGTGCTAGCGATTAGATCACGTCAGCAGTGTGACTCATTCTTGAAGCAAAGTTTTGCCTGAATAGTGATTAGATTCACTGTTTTGGATTGCTGCATTTAAACTGAGAAAGCACGTACAGAATGATGCATTCGGTGTATGATAGAGTAAACAGTAATAGCACGTGCAGCGGCAGCCTCCCCCGGGTCCTAAAGCCCGCTTAGTAAGGAGTTTTAATTCCGTAGGGGGCGCTGTTGGCCTACTTCTAATAAAATGAAAGCAAAATACACAAATAATATTTAGACTGTGTTTCTGATTAAATAAAGCAGTAATTGATGCCATAAAATCATGAGTATGTTTTGATTTAAAGGTCAGAAGTTATAGCTTACATGAACAAAAAAAACCTGACACTTAAATTAAATAATTTTATATATACTGATTTATTCATTAATATGTAATGTTATTTTTTAAACAAATTATAAGCTCTAAAAGATTTACAGAATTTGTACAAATCTTTTGCTTTAGACCATTTACAAATGTTAAATCATAAAATAAAATGTTACCACTGCATCTTTCTCAAAAAAAAAAAAAAATCCAGCGATTGAATACAGTTTTAGTTATTTTCAAATCTTCAATATACTGTCATTATAAAAGAACTCCATTCTTGTTTATTTATTTCTAACAAATAAGTTCTTGTTAAAAACTAACCAAAATTAAAAGTAATTGGCTTATAATTTCTGCACAGGAGAGTTGTTGTTTCTAAACAAAAGGATATATATCGGCTATCGGCCAAAATGAGTTGAAAAATATCGGCACATTGGCTAAAATCCAATATCATCCTTAATATATAATATTAATTTGAGGGGGGGGAAATCACTATCAGTTATTTTACTGCTTAATTCTTTTTACATTTGCATGTTTAACATATCCATAAACCATCCTGATTAAAGTTAGTTTTTTTTTGTTTTTTTTACATTAAAAAAAAAAACTTTCAAAATGTTTTGTTTTACAATTATTATTATTATTATTTAATTATAAATCAAATGTATATATGAAGTTTTAATTTTAAACTTTATAAAACAAACTTATTTTTATTGAACTTCATCCCCACCATCCCCAAAACATTGCTTTTTAAACCACTGTGTTTCTCTTTGCTGATGTATTGCATGTTTCTGAACAGCTCTCGGTCACACGGCAGACACCGGAGGAGCAGAAGTCGGGAGGATGACAGGTAAAATTCACAGTTTAATTGTAAATTAAATAATTTAAAATATAGAGATTTGAGTAATATATAATATATTTTTTTCAAATGGATTATGAAAATTAAATATAAAGATTTTTAGAATTTTTACAGCTCTTTTGCTTTAGACCATCTATTAACGTTAAATCCACAAATAAAATGTTAAGGTTTCAACTGCATCTGTCTCAGAAAAAAAAAAAAGCCCAGCAGAGGTTGATTTTATTAGTTATTTTTAAAGCTTTCAATGTACTCTCATTTTAATAAAGTTTATTACTTCTAACAAACAAGTTTTTGCTCAAAACTAACCAAGATTCAAAATAATTTATTTATCATTTCTGCACAGGAGAGACTTGGTGTTGTTTCAAAACAAAGGAAAATATAAATGTGACTGCAGCACAAAAGCAGTGTTGAGTCGCTGGGGGATATTTGTAGCAATAGCCAACAATACATTGTATGGGTCACAATTATACATTTCTCTTTTATGCCAAAAATCATTAGGATATTAAGTAAAGATCATGTTCCATGAAGATATTTTGTAAATTTCCTACCGTAAATATAGCAAAGCTTAATGTTTGATTAGTAATATGCATTGCTAAGGATTTCATTTAGACAAATTTAAAGGTGATTTTCTCAATATTAAAATTTTGCACTTTCAGATTTTCAAATAGTTGTATCTCGGCCAAATCACAATCACAAAAGTACATTATTTGCATGTGCTTTAAAGCATTGCCGGTTAAACAAATCATTAGGATATTAAGTAAAGATCATGTTCCATGAAGATATTTTGTAAATTTCCTACCGTAAATATAGCAAAGCTTAATGTTTGATTAGTAATATGCATTGCTAAGGATTTCATTTAGACAAATTTAAAGGTGATTTTCTCAATATTAAAATTTTGCACTTTCAGATTTTCAAATAGTTGTATCTCGGCCAAATCACAATCACAAAAGTACATTATTTGCATGTGCTTTAAAGCATTGCCGGTTAAACATTTCATTCACGCACTGGTCTGACGTGCGCCTTTTCTGAGCATGTACACCCGAAGCGCGCGCACTAAAAAGCCTGTCAAACGGCGCCTGATTACTGAACTAAGTTATCTTTAGCGCTAATACTGTCAAAACACACAAGGTTTACATATAGACTCAGTTGGTTATGTCTAAAATGAAAGTAAACAGTTGAGAGAGAAACGGATGCGTGCAGCTCTTAAAGGGACAATAGCTACTAAACATGCAGCCGACTTGTCATTAAAGGAATAGTTCACCCTAAAATAAAATTTCTGTCATCATTTACTCACTCACATGTTGTCCCAAACCTGTATTAGTTTCTTTCTTGTGCTGAACACAAAAGAAGATATTTTGAAGAATGTGGGTAACCAAACAGTTGCTGGTCCACTTTGAATTTGATGGTTTGAAAAAATACTATGGAAGTCACTGTGGACCAGCAACTGTTTGGTTTTCCACGTTCTTTAAAATAGCATTTATGTTCAGCAGAAGAAAGAAACTCATTGACAGACATGACAATAAAATTTTTGGGTGAACTATTCCTTTAACGTTAATACAACAACAAAACACAAAGAGAAAAATCACTCACTACTCTTGACTGAAGAACTTTAAAAAACAGTTGCTTTAATAGGAATCAGTCTATATAGTGTTTTATTTTTATATTTGTTCATTCAAGTTCATTCAAACCTATTGTACCTGAAAATAAAGCACCGTTTGTTTTATTTGTATATTATGTGTAGTTGAAATGTGTATCTTTTGTTCTTATTTTTTAATAACAAAGATAAAATAATGACAAAGATTTTTATCTTCGCCCACTTTGGCCTAAATATCTGCCATTGCTTTTTCTTTTTCTTTTTTTTGTTACCTTGTAAGGCTTTATCTTTATAATAGGGAAATTAGTTTGGCTGTACTGCTCAGACAACTTCGTGATAAAACAAGAATCGTGATAAGATCGTGAATCGTGATATTTCAAAAAAAAAATGTTTTTAAATCGTGAAATATTTTTCCCATATCGCCCACCCCTAGCTCCAACCAAAGTGATTAAAGAAGTCTAGTTTTCATCCTTTTGATGTTTTACAGTGTTATTTTAGTATTATGTCATATGATAAAGTGTTTGTGTATTTTCAGTTTTTTTCATTTTAGTAAGTTTTTTTTTTTTTTTTTTACTTGTAATTTTAATATTTTTAGTTTTTGTAATTTAGTACTTCATCTTAAATTTAAAGGAACAAAACAATAGTAATTTTATGATTAAATTATCTATATTTTAATACTCCCGCACACCACCCCCAGAGCTACCAAATCTGCTCCTGGCGCCACCATCTATAGAACTTAGTGGCGCTGGCGCCACTGCTCTCAAATGTTAGTCTGGAGCCCTGGGTGTGCGATATGACTATTTTTGATTGTGGACAATAAAAATGTCTCAATGATCTGCTTTTGAAGAAATATCGTAGTATCATCCTGCAGCGCATATTCTATCAGTTACAGTTCTGGCGCCTCAGTCTCAATATACTGTACAACACCACATACATTTAGTGTTAACTCAGCGGTAGAGTTACTCTCACAGGACACTGCACTTATTTGCAATCCCAAAAGTACATTATTTGCATGTGCTTTAAAGCATTGCCGGTTAAACATTTCATTCACGCACTGGTCTGACGTGCGCCTTTTCTGAGCATGTACACCCGAAGCGCGCGCACTAAAAAGCCTGTCAAACGGCGCCTGATTACTGAACTAAGTTATCTTTAGCGCTAATACTGTCAAAACACACAAGGTTTACATATAGACTCAGTTGGTTATGTCTAAAATGAAAGTAAACCGTTGAGAGAGAAACGGATGCGTGCAGCTCTTAAAGGGACAATAGCTACTAAACATGCAGCCGACTTGTCATTAAAGGAATAGTTCACCCTAAAATAAAATTTCTGTCATCATTTACTCACTCACATGTTGTCCCAAACCTGTATTAGTTTCTTTCTTGTGCTGAACACAAAAGAAGATATTTTGAAGAATGTGGGTAACCAAACAGTTGCTGGTCCACTTTGAATTTGATGGTTTGAAAAAATACTATGGAAGTCACTGTGGACCAGCAACTGTTTGGTTTTCCACGTTCTTTAAAATAGCATTTATGTTCAGCAGAAGAAAGAAACTCATTGACAGACATGACAGAATAAAATTTTTGGGTGAACTATTCCTTTAACGTTAATACAACAACAAAACACAAAGAGAAAAATCACTCACTACTCTTGACTGAAGAACTTTAAAAAACAGTTGCTTTAATAGGAATCAGTCTATATAGTGTTTTATTTTTATATTTGTTCATTCAAGTTCATTCAAACCTATTGTACCTGAAAATAAAGCACCGTTTGTTTTATTTGTATATTATGTGTAGTTGAAATGTGTATCTTTTGTTCTTATTTTTTAATAACAAAGATAAAATAATGACAAAGATTTTTATCTTCGCCCACTTTGGCCTAAATATCTGCCATTGCTTTTTCTTTTTCTTTTTTTTGTTACCTTGTAAGGCTTTATCTTTATAATAGGGAAATTAGTTTGGCTGTACTGCTCAGACAACTTCGTGATAAAACAAGAATCGTGATAAGATCGTGAATCGTGATAATTTAAAAAAAAAAAAAAAAAAAATCTTGCTAAGATATTTTTTCCATATCGCCCACCGCTAGCATATGGGATATCTATGGAAGCCCGTTTCCACCACTAAATAAAAAAATAACACAAAGTAATTGCGACTTTTTATCTTGCAATTCTGACTTTATAACTCGCGATCGTTATAAAAAAAAAAGTAAGTCAGAACTGTGAGATATAAACTCGCAATTGCGAGAAAAAACTCAGAATTGCGACTATCTCTTTATATATCGCAATTCTGACTTTTAACTCGCAGTTGTGTGTTATAAAGTCAGAGTTGCAAGATATGAACTCGCAATTCTGAGAAAAAGTCAAAATTGTGAAATAAAAAGTCGCAATTGACTTGTTTTATTATTTTTATATTTGTTCATTCAAGTTCATTCAAACCTATTGTACCTGAAAATAAAGCACCGTTTGTTTTATTTGTATATTATGTGTAGTTGAAATGTGTATCTTTTGTTCTTATTTTTTAATAACAAAGATAAAATAATGACAAAGATTTTTATCTTCGCCCACTTTGGCCTAAATATCTGCCATTGCTTTTTCTTTTTCTTTTTTTTTCTTTTTTTTTTTTTTCTTTTCACAGTCAGAACTGTGAGATATAAACTTGCAATTGCGAGAAAAAACTCAGAATTGCGACTATCTCTTTATATATCGCAATTCTGACTTTTAACTCGCAGTTGTGTGTTATAAAGTCAGAGTTGCAAGATATGAACTCGCAATTCTGAGAAAAAGTCAAAATTGTGAAATAAAAAGTCGCAATTGACTTTTTTTATTCCGTGGCGAAAACGGGCTTCCATAGATAATGGTGCAAAAATCGAATATGGTGCATCCCTAGTTTATTGCACTCAGATTAAAATAATGCATTAAGCTCAGCAGCACAGATGATTTTTCACATTGGAAACAATCAGTAAATCAAATGTTATGTGCTCAGACACAGGTCACGTGATCACGGCCGCAGACGCCACCGATCAGCCTCGCGTTCTCCGTCACGCGACTCCAAATACAAGTCCAAGAGCCGGCGCTCTCGCTCCCGGTCCAGATCGGCCAGTCCTCCGGCGGAAGAGCTGCAGGCGCAGACCGGATCCCGTGAGGAAGAGCCCCGCGTCCGCTCGGCCTCCCGCTCGCCGTCCCGCTCGCGCTCCAGATCCTGGGCTGGACGCAAGTCTGGAGGCCGCTAGCCATCGCTCTGCTTTTAAATACTGTATCGTGCAGCTTTTCATCCAATCTTTGTGTTTAATCATGACGGCGCAGCAGCTTCTGCTTGTTCTCGTTCTTATTGGATTCCAAACAAACGATGCAACTTGCTTGAAAGTTGATGTTGTCAAGGCAGTTCGTTCTTTTGTAAGAAGCGTGCTTTGATGCCAGTATAAAGATGGCTTTATTTTTATAGTCAAAGACAAGCAGAACACCAGCCGTTTTATTTCTTTCTTTGTTTGATTGTAGAAAGATGCATGCAGAAACATTGTTAATAATGGGGGGGGACCGGGGGATTTTCCTATGACAGTTTTTGTTTTAAAGATTTGTTTGGCGTTTGCTCGGGAAAGTCGCAGTGTTACGTTTTTTTTTTGTTTTTCTTTTTCCAAGGTTATGTATTTGAAACTCAATTTGTATTTGTCAAGTCTTGATCGTAGCATCTGTTTATATCAAAGACGTAGTATTTTTGTCATTGCAAAATAAACCTGATTTAAACATTGTCCGAGTGATGCTTTATCTTTTCTTTATTGCATCTAACCCAAATCTTCAATGAAAAGCAAATTTTTAGCTGACATGTTTAGCAAAACAGTTTTTATTTTAACTTTGTATAAAAACTACAGAAAATTTATTTAGAAGTATTTGTGGTTTTAGCGATAAACCTTATGTAGCTCCGCCCCTTTTCTGCGCTGTGCTCGTTGTCTAGTTTTCCATTGTAGGCTTTCCACATCATTGTACGAATTTATGAATGAAGTTTTTTTTTATCTTCCCTGTTCCCTAATTTATGATAACCCACTGCGAACATTACAATGCATGTGATAACATTTGTTGATTACAAGATATCCACCGCAAAAATGAAAGTTCAAAGACAAAATTCTAAAGATGCCTGCGCACTTTTTCTCTGATGCACAATGTCTGTTATTACTGCAATAATTGCTGGTCAGGTTAAGTTACATCAGCTTACCTTTTAAACCCATTAAACAGATTTTCCTCCAAAAAAATCACAGAAAAATGACTTTTTTGGTGTAATACTGTTCATAGCATGCCATATAATGCTATGAACAGTTATAGACCAAAAAAAGTCATTTTTTCAGATTTTTGGAGAAAAAATCTTTGATTAAATTTGAAGATGGCTATAGTTGCAATTAATTTGTTAAACTAGTTTATTAGAAGACTACGTTAGTTAACATAAACACTGTTTCTACAGCATTGATTGATCTTTATTTCAACATTTACTAATACTGTGTATTTTAAAATCAAGTTAGATCTGTCATCAATTCAGTGTAATATTAACAATTGTATTTTTATTGAAATACTGTATTTTAAAAAGGTTAATGCTGTAAAAAAAAATACTTATTTGATCATGTTTATTTATGCTTTAATGTTAATCAAGATCTTATTGCAAAGTATTACTAATATTTCAATTAGAAAATAAGAATTTATGGTAATTGTTGTCTCGAGTCAGCTGGTGGCTTCATTTGATAAAATGACACCAGCTTTAAACTAAGTGAAGATTTCGGTTACAGTTTGTTGTGTCCTTTTACAGTGTAATTATACCTTTACGTACTGGGTAATATTAATTACATGTACTTACTATCTGTTTAGGGTTACTTGCATGTAATTATGCATAATTTATTATTATAATAGTAAGTACATGTAACATGTAACACGCACGCAGCTTTAAACTAAGTGAAGATTTCGGTTACAGTTTGTTGTGTCCTTTTACAGTGTAATTATACCTTTAAGTACTGGGTGATATTAATTACATGTACTTACTATCTGTTTAGGGTTACTTGCATGTAATTATGTACATGTAACATGTAACAAGCACACCTTAAAATAGTGTTACCAAGTTTTCTTTGATGCAATTTGCTTGCTCAGCTGACAAAACATCCCAGTCATAAACGACCATCTGTTTTACTCCATAGCTTTTAAAGCAGGATTTAAATGTGCAAAAAATGTTTCAAACACTAGTTAGTAATAATAGTAAACTATGTTGCATGTTTAATTTCACAGATAGCATTTAATTATCATCTTGGTCATACACTGCTACTTTGCATTTTCAATTAAATTTTGCATTGCACTTGGTGGCCTAGTCAAATAATGAATCATATTTCATTGTTCACACTATAAATGTAGTCATTGCATTTTAGTACAGCACATACAAGTGTTCACAAACAGGTCACCTGGATATTCAATACTACTAAAAGTGGTAATGTATACAAGTCTATTTGAAATGGCATATTTTTCTGTAGTAAATAGGTTTTCTATGCACTGTATGTGGAAAGAACTGCTTTAATTTCCTACTTGTGAACTAAATGCACAGTATCTTATGTGACTAAATGACCAGACGGTGTAAAATGCACGTTTTTCCCAGCATAAAGCATTGCTTCTTGTAACGGTTTTTAAATAATACATTTAGTGTGTATTTTGCAAGTATGCCTTTGCTATAAATAATGAAAAGGTGGGACTTTTATTTAAAAAAATTAATTAAAATTCAAAAACAATTAAAATTAAAAGACAGTGGGACATTCCATACACCGTTACAAATGTATACATAGACGTATTGCAAACACTTTACAATAAGGTTTAATTTGTTGACTGTTAACATGAACAACTTCATACAGCACTTGTGTTAAGTTCAACATTTACTAGAACATTAAAATCGAAAATTGTATCTGTTAACATTAAAGGTTAATAAATGCTGTAAAAAAAAAAATATTGCTCGTTAATGCATTAACTACTGTTAACAAATGAGACCTTTTTGCAAAGTGTTAACCAAGTACTCAAAAAGAAGCCGCACAAGACTAGTTTGCATCCAAGTTTATTTTTGAAATTCCCTACTCCCTCTATACAAGAAAAAATGACTTTCCACAAAGGCAGCAGTGAACTCTCAGTGATAGTAATAGTTATGTTTAGGGCAGGGGGAAAATCATAAATCACAGTGTAAGCTTTCATTTTCTTTAAATACTCCTGCTGTCATCTTTGGCTGGGTTTGGCGGACAGTTTACCGTCAGGCCAAAGTCACGGGAAGTTACAGTTCAAGCCAATGGAGCTGCAGGCTTCAACTTTGCAAAAGCCAATGCAGGAATGTTGCATTATACGCGGATAACGGAAATAATAATAAAAAAAGAAATAAAATAAGAACAAGCCGTCCAACGTTTGCAACGCAGACCAAAAAAAAAAAAAATTACTGCCAGGGATGCGACAGCACTTTTTAAATTTCATAAAATTGTATAGACAAAAAAATAAATCTACAAAAATGGTACTAGTAATATTACACAACGATTAAACGGGTTTCGTTCGACTACACAAAACCGAAGTTCTTGGTCTTGATGGCTAGTAAAAGTTTCTGTTTGAGAATCTGTTTGGAAGAGTAAAGTGGCACGTAGAGGCGAGAGATGCAGGTGTTGGCGGTGGGCAGGTGCTGGTCGTCTGGCGGCCGGATGGTGATGGAGGGCATGGGCTGGAATCCTTCTTCACTGGCCGGCAGAGACGGGCTGGATGTCCAGAAGTACACCTGCGGGCGGCACACACCAATGCGTTAACATCTGGCACAGGTTTAAGCAGGGCTGCACGATAAATCGAAATGAAATAGTTATGATTGATGATCAGACCACATTGCTAGAAGAGCCCGGTGCTGCAGATTTGCTTTATTCAACATCAAGAAGATCTGGGCCCGGTTGCATGAAAGTCCTTAAGTAATTTGACTTAGGTATATCCCTGCAGGGGGAAAAATCCCTGAGGTAAGAGATTTCTTTAGGAGCATTGAAACCTTTTGAAACTCCTGTTGACCAATGACGGAAAACTGACCAAATGTGAAAATGAACCCACTGCATTGATAATGCAGTAACACTTTACAATAAGGTTCATTAGTTAACATTAGTTAACATGAACTAAGCATGAACAATATTTCTACAGCATTTATTAATCTTAGTTAATGTTAATTTCAACAGTTACTACTGCATTATTAAAATCAAAGGTTGTGCTTGTTAACATTAGTTAATGCGCTGTGAATTAACATGAACTAACTATGAACAACTGTATTTTCATTAACTAACATTAACAAAGATTAATAAATACTGTAATAAATGTATTTTTCATTGTTTGTTCATGTTAGTTAATACATTAACTAACATTAACTAATGGAACCTTATTGTAAAGTGTTACCGATAATGCATTATAAAAATCTAAACAAGACTAATTATATTTATATTATTTAATTAATGCAATAATTGAGTAATAATAATTGATACAACTCATCTATTTACTTAATTTATGTAAAACCTTTTGTTTTGTGAAAACCTGTAAGTCATGCTTTTTACAGTTTAATATGTTACCCTAGTCATTGCCCTACTGCGCTCATGTGATATTTTATTTGTGCAGGTCTTAAGTCCTACATTTGAGTTTAAAAACCCTGCAGATACTGAATTTAAGATGACTTAAGGGAGCTCTTTTGGTCCCTTAAATGTATTAAGGTGAAATGGTTACTAAGGACTTTGTAGCAACACTAAAGGGAACACTTAAATAATTAAGGGGAATATTTAATGGCAGCCTTAAGTTGACCCTTAGTTTTTTTTCTTGCAACCCAAGTTTCACTAAGGGCTCCCTTAACCTAATAACTAAGGGATTTCTTAGCATAAGGACTTTCATGCAACCAGGCCCCTTCTTTCGGAACATGCTTCACAACTCCTTGTTCAAGCTCTTGTTCTGTCCAGGCTGGACTAATGCAATGCTCTCTTGGCAGGTCTTCCAGCCACTTCTATCAAACCTTTACAATTAATCCAGAACGCGGCAGCAAAATTAATTTTTAACGAGCCAAAAAGAATGCACGTCACACCTCTGTTCATCAATTTGCACTGGCTACCAGTAGCTGCTCGCATAAAATTCAAGGCATTAATGTTTGCCTACAAAACCACCACTGTTGGGGTTGGTGTACATGTTAATAAAGCCTCACACCTTATTAATATCATGCTGGAAGCAAAATCTGATAGGTAGCACTTTTCACTATCGAATTATGCTACCATCTGTTCGTGTACCGGTGCATACCGGCCCACTTCAAGCACTGCTTAGCGGGATCCCTGAGGGGGGAAAATCCCTGAGGTAAAAACTCAGTGCTGAAAACTGATCTGGGAGAGTCAGGTTTTGCCATTGCCCTACTGCGCTCATATGATATTTTATTTGTGCAGGTCTTAAAAAATGTCTGAAATCTTACATTTGAGTTTAAAAATCCTGCAGATACTGAGTTTAAGATGATTTAAGGGAGCTCTTTTGGTCCCTTAAATTTATTAAGGTGAAATGGTTACTAAAGACTTTGTAGCAACAATTAAGGGCAATACTTAATGGCAGCCTTAAGGTTCCTTAAGTTGACCTTTAGTTTTTTTTCTTGCAACCCAAGTTTCACTAAGGGCTCCCTTAACCTAATAACTAAGGGATTTCTTAGCATAAGGACTTTCATGCAACCAGGCCCCTTCTTTCGGAACATGCTTCACAACTCCTTGTTCAAGCTCTTGTTCTGTCCAGGCTGGACTAATGCAATGCTCTCTTGGCAGGTCTTCCAGCCACTTCTATCAAACCTTTACAATTAATCCAGAACGCGGCAGCAAAATTAATTTTTAACGAGCCAAAAAGAATGCACGTCACACCTCTGTTCATCAATTTGCACTGGCTACCAGTAGCTGCTCGCATAAAATTCAAGGCATTAATGTTTGCCTACAAAACCACCACTGGCTCTGCACCCCTTTACCTAAATTCATTACTTCAGACATATGTGCCTCTAGAAGCTTGCGTTCTGCAAGTGAACGTCGCTTTATTGTGCCATCCGAAAGAGGCACAAAATCACTTTCACAGACTTTTAAATGAACGGTTTCCTCCTGGTGGACCCAACTCAGTCCGAGCAGCTGAGTCCTTAGCCATCTTCAAGAATCGGCTAAAAACACATCTCTTCCACCTTTATTTGACCCTCTAACTCTAGCACTCTCTATTCTAATTCTATTCTTAAAAATTATTTTTCTATTCTATCCGTTTTCTTTTTATTTATTATATAATTTTTAAAAAACCTTGCTACGTGTACTGCGTTAAGCTGAGACTTGTTATAGCACTTGCGTATCATTGCTCTTTTGTTGATTCTGATTGCTTCTGGATAAAAACGTCTGCTAAATGACTAAATGTAAATGAAATCATAATCGCGATTAGGCAAAAGCTGCGATATTCATGCTCGCATCTTGTCAGTGAAGCACGGTTCTGTGATCAGTAGTAAATCTCCATCAGAAGGCCAGAGAAACTCCAAATACACCTCACAGAAGAAACCCAGGAAAAGCCTATCGCTGCAGCTGAAAAAACTGAAGATTCAACTGCTTTCATTGATTCAACGTGACTAATAAACACACGACTACGGCAATATATGGTTTATCTGAGTTAGTCTTGTTATAATTTTCATTATAATAAAGTATATAATAATGCAATGCCTTTATCACGGCTTAGAATACTATGAAATATATTACGTGCCTTATTCTGTGTAAGAAGCCATCATCTCACAGAAGGATTTATTTCAAACACTCGGCTGACGTTATGAAGTGAGTTTGGAGTAAAAACATTAAATGTGGTATTTTCACATGCTTTCAGATGGAGCAGCATTTACTTCACAGAGCCGTAGTTCACTGAGAAGCTATGCAAACAGCTGTTATTATTGCGACCGATTTTTTCAATTTCATGAGCGATTATATCGTCTGCGATTTTTCTTGCGTAGCTTGTCAGAGAACTACGGCTCTGTGTAGTAAATGCCGCTCCATCTGAAAGCAGGTGATAGAGATTTACTATTAGGGATGTAACGATTAACCGGTTGAAAATCGATTCAAATATGTGACGATTCAAATCGGTTGAGATGCTAAACAAATCGCGATTCATTTAGGGGTAGAAGTTTATATGAATGTATGTCTGAGGGGAACTTACTGTGTTTAGAAAAGATTAGATGGTATTTTTCTTTTCATCTTGCCTCTGTAAAATGCATATTAAAGTTCATAAGTCATCAAACTTATGAACATAAGTCTTTGATCATAAGTTCATCAAAGCGCTGCTTTGATTACAGCAGAAACCAAGGAAACGCTTTAAGCGCCACCTGCTGGCAGAGAGAGAATCTGCATCTCATACCAAGGAAACGCTTTAAGCGCCGCCTGCTGGCAGAGAGTGAATCTGCATCTCATTCAGTTCGTCTGCTGTGTTTCTCATGCAGATATTTTTATGTATAGTTTCACAAAACTGAAGTCAAACCATTCTGTTTTTGCTTCAAATTTAGAAATCCTCATGTTGCATGTATGCAGCATCTTTGTTTGGATAATGATAATTAAAACAATTATATCATTGTTTGGAAATGATTGCCTCTAATTTTAAATGGAAAGAGCACGGACAAAGCCTTATTTTGTTTATATGAAGAGATTTATTTTATTTGTGTTACTTATTTATTTGATTTGGGGCTTGTTTTAAAATGTTAATTTAGTTTTGTTATTTACATTAACATTATATTTAAATTGAGTCATTTAGCAGACACTTTTGTCCAAAGCGACTTACAAATGAGGACAATAGAAGCAATCAAAACCAACAAAAGAGCAATAATAT